TTAAGCTCCTTTCTTCGTCTCCCTTCCTTCTAACCCCCTCAGTTATGTTTCGTTGTTGCTAATTTCCCCCTTTGGCATAGTTATCTCTTCATTAAGCTAATAATCCAATATATTAGTCTAATTATATTCTGAAATGACCACTCCGCCCTCGTATGTTTTCTTCAAGTCGCAAGACAAAGAAGTCGCTTGTTCGTTTATGTTTCTGCTCGTCCCATCAGTCGCGAGACAGAGATGGCTTGCTCGGCCATGTTCGGCATCACACTGGACTAGGTGCCAAGGAAAACGGAGGAGGAAGGGAGATAGTAGAATTAGGTGCGCGCGTGCTCACTCCGGTTCGTTCGATAGCGGCAGACGACCAGGAGACGCAGGGGCGACCCAGAGGCGGGCGGGCGGGGCCATGGATTGGGGCCAGGAGCGCGCCCGGCAGCCGGTTGGAGTAGAGATTGGTGGTGAGAGCATCTCCAACAGCCGCGCCAAACTAGCGCCGCGCCGCAAAATTGCCCGTTTTAGCGTGCGCGCAACCGGTATAGTTGCTCCAGCGGACGCGCAAAAACAGCGCGCGCGGCATATGTAGTTCAGCGTGCGGGCCGAAACTCAATCGCGCGCCGCTTATTTGCTGCGCCCGCTCCCACGCGCTCGCTCGCAACTCCCATCCCCCATCCAGCCGCGCCGCAGCCGCCGACCGCGCCACCCGGCGACCGTTCCGGCACTTCCCCGGCCTATCCCCGCCCCGCGGCGGCTTCCCCGACCCCCCCTCTAGTCCCACCGCCCCTCGCGCGCGTCCGTCCTCCGACGAACAGCGCCCGTGCGCTCACTGCCGCTCGGTGCCCGCAAGGTGTTCGACAAAACGCCTAGAAGGTATGTATTGCTCAAAAGCCATGAATTTCGTGCATGTTGATTGTAGTTTTTATATCATAGTATTGAACATTGTAGATGAGTTCGTCGTATGATTCTTTCGAAGAAGAATTTGATATGGAAGAGGAGGATGATCTTGCAATGATCCTAGCTATGCATATCAATAAAAAACCTAAACACGATGGTTCGGTTATGGGTCGGAAGAAAATTTGGAGGGATAGGATCGATGCCCACAACAGATTGATCAAGCATTATTTTGCGGAGAATCCCACATACCCCGAGTCGTATTTTCGTCGCCGGTTTAGGATGAGCACCGAGTTGTTCAGGCGCATTGCAGAGAAACTAGCGAGCCATGACCGCTTTTTTCAGCAAAGGAGGAATGCCACTGGAGAGCTCGGGCATAGCACCTTTCAGAAGGTGACAGCCGCTTTGCGTATGTTGGCATACGGTATACCGGCTAATCTAGTTGATGATCACTTGGCTATGGATGAGAGCCAAGCCATCATGTGTGTCAAGCGTTTCGCAGTCGGAATTGTGCAAGTGTTTGGCGAGGAGTATTTGAGATCTCCCAATGCTGAAGACGCCGCAAGGCTATTGGCGATGAACAAAGCTCGCGGCTTTCCTGGCATGCTTGGCTCAATAGATTGCTTGCATTGGAGTTGGAAGAATTGTCCAAAGGCATGGCATGGGCAGTTCCATGGCCAAAAAAAGGGTGCCACTATAATCCTTGAAGCGGTGGCCGATCAAGAGACTTGGATTTGGCATGCATTCTTTGGGATCCATGGATCTTTGAACGACATCAATGTTGTCAACCGGTCACCACTGATGAATAAGATTGCAAATGGTGAGTTGCCACCAGTGCAGTTTGTAGCAAATGGCCGTACATACAACTATGGCTATTATCTAGCGGATGGCATCTATCCAAAGTGGCAAACCTTTGTCAAGTCGTTGAAAAAGCCAGAAGGTAAGAAAAATCTTGATTTCCACAATGCTCAGGCGGCGGCTAGAAAAGATGTGGAGAGAGCTTTTGGGATTTTGCAAGCCCAATTTGCTATTGTGAGAGGACGGGCTAGATTTTGGGATCAGAAAATGCTTTGGTACATCATGCACGCTTGTGTGATCATGCATAACATGATCATCGAGAATGAGCGTGGCCAAGATGTAGACTACTCTCAGTATGAGCTCTTGGACATCCCGTGCGAGTGCGACGGAGGGCTGAAAGGGTGGCCCATTTTGTTGCCTCCTATCATGCCATTCGACGTCCCGCAGCGCATAATGATCTTCAGAAGGATCTAATTGAGGAGTGGTGGGCATGGAATGGACGACAAAGAGCATCATGATTTATGCGTTTGATATTGTATTGTTGAACTATTTGTTGTGTTTATTGCACTATTTGTTGTATTGAACGATAAACTATTTGTTTGAGTTGTAATAATGAAATTGAACTATTTATTTTGATTTTTTTTGTTTGTGTTTGATCTTTTTGCTTATGTTTTGGAATGCATATGTTGTTTGTGCGATAGTCGCACGCGCTGCATTTTTGCGCGCTACTGGAGCGGCGCGCGCGTGCGCTACTTTTTAGCGCGGCTGCTGGAGCCAGCGCTGTGCGCCACGCCAAACCAGGCGACCGGCGCGCGGCAAAGCAGTTTTTTGCGCGCGACGCGTTCGGTGCCTGTTGGAGATGCTCTGACCGGCGGAGCTGAGGCTTGGCGGCGGCCGGCTGAACTGAGGTCTGCGTCGATCTGGGGCTGGGTAGAAACTGAAGAGCAGTTTTGTCTAATCAGATGCCCTTTGGTTGGTTATATATTGACAAATATGTTAAGGATGTCAAAGGGGGGAATTAGCAACAACAAGACCGAACTGGGGGGCTTAGAAGGAAGGG